AGCAAGCAAAGATAGAAGTGATTTCGAGGGTATGATCATCTTGCCTGCAAAGTTGTCAGAGTTGACTTGATCCTCGTAAGCAAACTCAACGGGCTCATCGTTAGTGAACTCGTCTCTCGGCTCTACACAAACAAGATAAACAAGCAAAAGGAACACAATCAACCACGTGCAATGCTCCAACAACATGATGCAAACATGGTATGCTATGCGGGATGCGATATGTGATGCATATGCAAGATTTGACAAGGAATGATTGAACCTGGCCTCAACTTGGAAATCTAAGAGTGCCACTGGAAAGGTGAGGTGATTTCGGTTGAAATCGATATAAAGATCACCGGAATCGGATGCACGGTTTGGAAATGGCAAGCAAAACAAATATGGCACCGATCTGCGTAATCAGCAAGTAGCCATCTAAATGCATCAAGATAATTATGCTACAGCACTCAAACATGACAACAAAATACATGGCAGGGATCCACTCATGAAGCTTGACAAAAGATGAACACTGAGCTACGGCCAATTCATCCATTAACAGGTTCAAACAAGCATGGCAAAAGTGCAAACGATAACAGGTTTCAGACTTAGTGAAATTAACACAAGTCTGGAATTTAACATCAGGTAGCACACTTTGGAGCATGAAAACTATATGCTACAGGAACTTAACATGTCAAAGCAAGGCATGACATGAAGCTACTCAAAGCACTTAACAAAAGTCCCTTAGTGGCCTTGAACCAAAAGGGATCACAAAATACAATTGTGAGCATGCGAACATGGCAAAAACATAAACAGATCTCAGACTTAATGAAAAACTGAAGCATGCAAATCTGTTAACGAGTAGGCATGTTCACGAGCTTGATGCACTCGCTACAGAGTATGGCATGACAAACTAAGCATACACCCATCAAGAATACATAACATAGAAGCTAGACATGTAAAGAACAACAATATAGAATGCACGGATCACTAGCAACATCCTCGGCAAAATCGCTAACAAGTCAACAATCTAACAGGATTCATGAAATAGCAAAAGTAGAGCTCGATTGACTCAAGCTAGGGTGCTCCATAATTGCAAGCAAATACATGTATGGATATAGCACCACAATGTTAACAAAACATCTTTACTGATCATACTCAAAAGAGGCACGGATCACTAGGAAACAATATGAACATATGGCCTAATGACAAAATCAGGATAAGGACTTGGAGAAATTCTAAGTCCCTGAAATCAGCATTAGCGAATGCACTACTTTGCAAGCTTGTGCTAGTCTCCACACATATCACAAAAATACATGGTAAGCACCTCTGTAAAGATGGAATGGCATATAACAAAACTCATGTAGAACTCAGGAGCATATCATGCACACATTAATCATGGCAAAAATGACAAATAGCTATTTGATGCAGCAGATCTGACAATTTAACCATATAGCTCTCTTCGAACAGCATTTCGGGCGACAATATGAGCTCAAATGAAAATGATGCAATGAGATGAAGTGATATACTCTCTAAGGCGAACATTTTGATATGCTACACGCCCAAAACGGAACTACAGATGCGGAGTTACGGCATGATGAAAAACGCAAAAAAAAACTAGGGTTTCGGGGGAAAGTCAACCAAGGAGAAAGTCTCAGATCCAGATCCCGATCGGCGCGGATAACGATGTTCGCCGGAGCTGCACTGTAGACGGCCGGAGAAGAGGAGATGACGGGTCCGGCCGGATGGAGATCTGTCCGGCGGCGCGTGGAGAGGAAAGGTCTAGGGTTTGCTCGAGATTTTTGAAGGGGATCTATTTATAGGCATAGAGGGAGCTAGGAAGCTCCAAATGGAGTGCGGTTTTCGGCCACGCGATCGTGATTGAACGCTCTAGATGATGGAGAGGATTTTGGTGGGTTTTGGGCCAAATTGGAAGGGTGCTGGGCTGCAACACACGCGAGGCCTTCTCAGTCCCTCGGTTAACCGTTGGAGTATCAAACGAAGTCCAAATGGTATGAAACTTGACAGACGGTCTACCGGTAGTAAACCAAGGCCGCATGGCAAGTCTCGATCCAATCCGGAAATGTTTAACCCCCACACACGAAAAGAGGTAGAAAGGAGCACCAGAGGAGATAGGAGCGCCGGAATACAAAACGGACAACGGGGAAATGCTCGGATGCATGAGACGAACACGTATGCAAATGCAATGCACATGATGACATGATATGAGATGCATGACACCGGCAACAACACACGGAGACAAAAACCCGAACCCGAGGAAATAAAATAACTTAGTGCCAGAAACGGCAAGAGTTGGGATACATATAAGGTAAATTACATCCGGGGTGTTACAACGATCCTGTTGTGCGTCTTGGTGCGAGTCAGAATGGGTGTACTGTGATGTGCAGATTGCAATTATCATGTTTGAAGCACAAGAATGTGGCATCATATTTTATGCAAAATTATGGTGAGCTACTATATCGTTTCAAACACTACTGTCACTGCATTCGTCATGAGAATTAAATTGATTCTAGTGTATTTGGCATTCTACCCTTAACTTTCTCTCAGAATTACGAACGTCAACCGGACAAGACTGCAACTCCTTTTCTTTTGGGGGGGTGCAAGATTAACACATGATTTCATACATTGTGTGAAAAAACCAGACACTGCTGAATTTATATTGAGGGCTTCCATGTTTCTTATGATTCTAAAAAAGCATATATAGGAAACCGGTAGAATTGTGATATAAATTGCTTGGTTACATTGTAGAAAAATATACATTAATTCCTAAAGGACTAGGCTTACGGCATAGTTGTCATAAAAATAGAGTAGAATTTCAGTGAGACTAGTATATTTTATCTTTCAAATACATGCAGATACCATTAAAAAAATCATATGTAGATCCTCCAAACCAACAATCTCTAGCAGAAAAAACCATACAAAATTCGATGAAATTCTTCTAAACCATTGAGGCCCTTAGAAATATTTTTCTTTATAGTTTGTGATTTTGTATCTATGTATAAATTAGGAGTATTATAAGAGTAATTTACAATCAACCTCTATCTTTTGAAAACACACATGTCTTTAGCATTATCCAATGTACTGACACAACACTTCTCAGGCTTTTAAAGTAGCATTTCAGTTTGTTCAATTGAAGAAGCATCCTACCAGGCTCAAATGCTGGCAGGAAAGGCTCGAATCATCACTGGCACCTACTGGCTAGGCAACGGAACCAGGTGCGCCTGCGGCAGATGCTGGAGGCACTACAGGCCTCGGTGCGTCGACTACCTTCTCCAGCACCCCCTTGATGTGATGACCACTTGATGGTCTTTTTTGTGCTTTTCTCCTATGTTTGTTTGGGCTTGCTTGTGTTGTGGCTCCAACAGACTATTTATATCAGTATGTTGCTACTTAGTGCGTGGACTGATTGGTTGTTTTATTTATAAAGCAGGGAGGAAGCCTATTTCGAGAGAGAGAGAAAGGCATGAGTCATGATTTGCATAATCAAATACAACATCTACGCTGCCATAGCTCACTAATTGCTAGGTGGTTTTGGTTTGGAGGTCTAATGATCCTCGGCGAGGTGCATGCTCTGGAGACCCTCTATAATTGCTCCCATCGCATGATCTCCCCTCTCTAAGATGTGCTCCAGTTTATTTACCTTCTCTAGCAGCTGCTCAACTTTCACATTCGCGCAGCTCAGCTACTTATCCAAAGTCTTCAATGCCATGTACAACTAGAGTTTGAGGTACAGAGAGTGGGGAGCAAAAACGTTAGTTGCATATATATAATCAAACACAACATCCACGAGACTACAACTAGAGTTCGGGGTACAAACTGGGTAGCGGTGGAGATGGACGGCAGCAAAATATCTTATTGGCATAAACAATGGACGCTTTTCATTTAGGCTGGAGTGCCGGTCGATGTCCCGGGCAAATATCCACGCCTTGGAATGTTATCATGCTAAGCGAGACCTGGCTGAGCTCGCCTTCCACCATTGCTACAATCCGTCATGCGCTGCGTGATTTGCTTGTTCGCCTAACAGCATTACTGAATTAAGTCGGCAAAAGGTAGCACAGCCCCCATCAAGCCGGTTTTTCTATGGTATGAAGAAAATACCCCAAGCTACAGTTGGTGCATGCATGCATCCAGCTGCAGTGTGTAATGCTTCAAGCTAGCGAACGTCCTTGTCTAATTAATTGACCAGGAGCAGGTGCTTCTTTTAACATTTCGAAAGAGGAGGACACGAAATGTACACATGCCTTTGAAGGACTTCCAAATTAAAAATCCATAATATTAATATATGACATAGGCCAAGAGGGTGATGTTTCTTTGTAGATCATCCCGTTTCATTAACTATGAATACATCACCCTCTTTTCGAACACAAAATAACTGTGAGCACATGGTACGTACAAGCTAAAACACATACTAGCAAAATCGGCATGCGAGAAGTAATGAAGTCATTCCTATAATTCGGCAGTGGAACATATGCCATGAAGGTTTCACTGCCTATATATCTCAATCAACTGGTCAGTTAAACAATTCGATCTTCAAATGTTATCATGAGCCATCTTTCTTTTACAAAAAACTTATTTGTTTAGAGGCATAAAAAAGAAAATCAAAAAATCAATTTATACCATTGCGAACGACTGACCGTTGCGGCGTACTCCTCATGTTGCATTATGGAGATTTTCGCACCAATCTTTCAAAAGAAATCAGTAATGATTCATTACATATCTCTGTTGCCAACTATGGTAGTCGTTATCGTTCATAGTGGGTTCAAGTGCATTTTCCTTTTTTCCCATGATAAGACGGTAGTGCTTCTACATGTGGGCAGCACTTCGCGCGCCTAAGTTCTTGCTTGATGCATAACAGTATAACACACACTTCATGAACATAGTGGCCTGCCACTATAAATAGAACCACATACCAAACATTCATCTCACACATTCCCAAAGTAAAATCTAGGTAAGACCAAAATCTCAGCTAGCCATCCATTAGATACAAAATAATAGTACCAGCAGCCATGGCTAAGTTACACACATTGGTTGCGGCACTGTTGCTTGTCATGGCAGTATCCCTCGCTGCACTAGAGGGTGTTCATGCCGTCTGCGGCATGTCAAATGATGAATTCAAGCTTTGCCAGCCCGCGGCGGCAGTGAATAACCCGACGGACAGTCCATCGGCTGAGTGTTGCGCTGCCCTTGGGAAGGCCAACCTATCATGCATCTGCCGCTACAAGGGCATCGCCGGCATATGGCTGAGAATGTACCACATTGATGCAAACCGGGCCATGGCGCTACCCGGTAAGTGCGGTCTCACCATGCCAAACAACTGCTCTTGATGATCGGATGTACTACCCATAAGCATCTAGCAGGTGTTAATCGCTCTACATAAGCTTCAACACTGATATGGCTAAATAAGTGGAGGATCACTTGGAAAGGCATTGTGCTACTCGGTCTTATTGTTATAGTATGATTTGGAAGTGTGATTATCACATTAAGCTCTTGGTAAAAAATAATGCATGTTATACCGAAAATGTAAGGATGCATGGCAAAATTGCCTTGCATGTTGTTCCATCAATTTAAGATCATATAATGGTGTTGTTCGTGTCAAATAGTTGTATGTTCTCTAGTGAACAGGTAAATGTTGAACACGGCTTCTTTTCCCGATTGGTCACTCCTAAGTAATTTTATAATCAGCTATCAAGATGACCGTGCGTTTTTGCAGCTAGTGTATGTATAGAGTTTATGATGATGCATCTATGAACGATTAAAGAAACTGCGATCAATGTTTATCTTTAAAAGCATGTACATATTATATTGTCCAATGGACTGCCACAACACCTCTCTGCCTACTGGAAAAATCTCGAAAACCTTACTATGTATAAGCAGGCATATAGCAATGCGGTTTGTTTAGAATTTCAAGGTGATCCCTGGAAGCATCCTATCAGGAACTAGTAGATGGAAATGTACTAGTAGAATACTAGAAGGAAAGGTAGGACTCCTGATTTGCATAATCAGACACAATTTCTATAGGTGGTTTCAATTTGTTGGTCTGGTAATCCTCGCCCTTGGTGAGGTGTATGTGTGCTCTGGAGCCACTCTACAATTGCTCCCACCAAACGGAAGGATTTTCTCATATGTGGTCACCAAGGACTACACTATAAACATGAATTGTACGAGTAAAACTAATAATATGGGAGCTACTTCCTCAAGGACACTCACAACAATACAAAAATGCCCATGTGTCCATATGGCAGCATTGAATTGCATGAAAGCATCCATCACATGGATGTTGCACCACACAATGTTCCTATTAAGTGTGAGAAGAGAGATGGAGCAATAACCCTAAGAAATCATCGTGTGTCGACCAATGGGTAGAGCCTAGTTGGTGCTAGGTTCATTTCAGCATGCCGCATATTCAACATACACAAGTTTTTCACTTAGTTACAATTGCTTTTTCACCGTCTTTGAAATCCACATACATCCTGGGACTGGGAACCATCAGGATTTGCATCTGCATGTAGTTCCTTTCTGCATGAAGTAACCTTGCCAAGATAGCCATGTGTAGATGGACTTAACTAGCTACTCCCTCCGTCCAAAAATACTTGCCATCAAAATGGATAAAAAGGGATGTATCTAGAACTAAAATACATCTAGATACATCCCCTTTTATCCATTTTGATGACAAGTATTTCCGGACGGATGGAGTACATATGTAGCGAAGGAGGCCCATGTGCCGCACTGCTTAAAGCTCCTGCATGTTGGAGTGAATGGGACTGTCTGGGCGTGTGTGATGTGATGTGCAGGTTGCCATTATCGTGTTTGAATCACAAGAGTGTGGTGCCCCATTTTATGCAAATTTACTAGTAAACTATCATATTTCAAACACTATTGTCACTGCATTCACTGTGAGAATAAAACCGATTGTAGCGGGGGTTTTTTAGGGGGAACTGATTCTAATGTATACGGTATGCCGCCTTTGATTTTCTCACCCTTTTACAAACATCAACCTGGACAAGACTGCAACACCTTTTCATTTTTTGATACAAGATTAACACTTGAATTCGTACGTTATGCGAAAGAAAACAGACACCACTGAATTCATATTGAGGGTCTCCTTGTTTCTGAGTACTCCAACATCGTATAAGCAAGCAGCATATAACATCTCATTTTGTTCAGAATTTTGAGGTGATCCCTTGAAGCAGCCTACCAAGAAACTAGTAAATGGAAATGTACGAGAGTACTAGAAGGAAAGGTAGGACTCCTGATTAGCATAATCAAACATAGTGTCTATGCTATCATAATTAACCCACTATTTGCTAGGTGGTTTCAATTTGGGGGTTTAGTAATCCTCGCCCTCGGTGAGGTGTGTGTTTGCTCTGGAGCCAATCTTCAATTGCTCCTACCAAACGCAAGGGTTTTCTCAAATGTGGTCACCAAGAACTACACTATGAACATGAACTGATACGGGCAATATTAATAACCGGGGGTCTACTTCGCATAGGACACTCATGACAATACATAAATGCCCATGTGCTCATATGGCATTTTTTAATTGCATGAAAGCATCCATCACATGCAGTGGTGAATCTAGACAGAAACTGAAGGATGGGCTCAAAGCCTGTATCATGCAAATATCTATTAAGTTGGGCTTGCAAGTGGCTGAGTTGGGCTTTGAAACTAGTAGTAAAAAACTTTTTTATAGTGCTGGAGGGGGGCTCAAGCCTGTTAAAGCCCCCCTAGTAGATTCGCCCCTGATCACATGGATGTTGCACCACACAAGTTCCTATTTAAGTGTGCGGAGAGAGGTGAAGCAATACCCCTAAGAAACCATCGTGCGTTGACCAAGGAGTGGAGCCTAGTCGTTGCTAGGTTCATTTTCAGCATACTGCATATTCATTGTACACAAGTTCTGCACTTAGTTAGAATTGCTTTTTAGCCGTCTTTGAAATCCACATACTTCCTAGGACTGGGAACCATCAGGATTTGCATCTGCACGCACTGGCTTCATGCGCGAGGTAACCTTTGCCAAAGATGGCCAGATGTAGATGGACTCCTTCAGAAATTTGCCATCCTAGTGCATTTTGTTAACTAGGCACGTATCTGGCGAAGAAGGCCTAAGTGCCGCACCGTTTAAAGCTCCTGCTCATGCGCCTTGAGCGAGTCAGACTGTCTGTATGTGCTGAAACGTGCAGGATGCCATTATGTGTCTGAAACTCTGAATCACAAGAGCATGGTGCCCCATTTTATGCAAATTTGCTAGCTACCGTGTTTCGAACACTACTACCACTGCATTCACCGTGAGGATTAAACTGATTCTAGCGTATCCGGCATTCTGCCTTTGATTTTCTCTCAGCCTTTTACAAATGTCAACCTGGACAAGACCGCGGCACATTTTCATTTTTTAATGCAAAATTGACGCTTGATTTCATATGTTATGCGAAAGAGAACTGACACCACTGAGTTCATATGGAGGGCCTTCTTGTTTCTTACAAGAACGCACACCTTTAGGTAATTTAATTCGCTGGAGAGATAAGCCCGTGGCTCTTTCCATTGTGCAAGCAAGATTGGTTGGATTAGCTCATAATATTCCAAAATATTACGGTACGGATAGATACACATTAATAGATAATAGAAAAAGTTCGGTTTTTTTTATATTGAATTTGTTAAAACAGAAAAATATAATATATAGTCAAAAAAGTATTCTAAAAAAATAGAAATATAAAACCAGTAGAATTGAAATGTAAGTTGATTGGTTGCACTAGAAAAATATGCATTTCTGAAGGACTAGGTGCATTGCATAGGGAAGAATTTCCGTGAGATTAGTAATTTTTTTTCTTAATTACTCACAGTGGAGTAGATATAAACTAGACCATAAAAATTCATATATAGTTCTCAATCCTACAAACCAACAAGCTCTAGCAGAAAAAAATCCTACGAAATAGAATCTCTCAAAATATCTATGAAAATCTTCTAAATCATTGAGGCTTAAATTCCTACAAATATTTTTCTGTCCATCTTTAGAAAACATGCACGTCTTTGGTATTATCCGGCGGACTGCCACAACACTTCTCAGGCTTCTAGAGAAATGGACCCTGGAAGCATAAAGCATTTCAGTTCGTTCAGTTCAGGAAGCAAAGGAACTAGTAAATGGATTTGTGCTAGAATGCTGGCAAGAAAGGCATGAATCCTGATTTGGATAATCAAACATAACATCTACGCCACCACAGCTCACTACTTGCTAGGTGGGTGCGATTTGGAGGTCTGATGATCCTCGGTGAGCTGCATGCTCTGAAGAACCTCTATGATTGATCCCACTGCACGATCTCCCCTCTCTAAGACATGCTCCAGTTTCTCCACCTTCTCTAGCAGCTGCTCAGCTTTCACATTCGCGCAGCTCAGCAGCTTATCGGAAGTCTTCAACGCCCTGCACAACTAGAGTTTGAGGTACAGAGATTGGGGAGCAAAATGTTAGTTTGCATCCAGCAACGAATTGTACTAGTAAATAATCACAGGTTACGTCCACAGTAAACAAAAAGGAAGGGAAGAAACACACCTTCAGCATCAGGGAAGGCCACGAAGGGTCATTCTCCTGTAGCGACTTCATCAAATTGTCATAGTCTTCCTGATTGATGATGAATGCACAAATGAATTAAATTTTTTAATTCATCCCAGAAGCTCATAACTAAGAGTAGCGCACCACTTTAAATTGATGAAGAACCAGCCTTTTCTGGCATCTTGGTGGACTCTGTCATTATTATTAAACACTGAATTCGAAGATGAAGCAAACAACAAACATGAGGTAGAACATCAGAAACTTAGCAATCTGTTAAGCTGGGCAGGATGCGTGAACTAACCCACCACAAGATACTACCTCCGTTCACGAATATAAGATGTTCTAACTTATTTGTGAATCGGATGTATATAGACACATTTCAGCGTTTTGTTAACTCATTTCAGTCCATATGTAACCCATATCGAGATATCCAAAACATCTTATATTTGTGAACGGAGGGAGTATGAATTATGAACTTAAGTTAGATGAGACCGTCTTAATTAACCCCAATATCCAACATTGCACACTTTTTGTGTACACTATCATGAATCTATGGGCAGCAAGATCCTTCACGTAGAACACAATTGAGTAGTTCATGGCAATTCAGGTTAACAGAACAGCTGATGGACGCATGGCTCGGACAACAAACTCGAAGGAGCAAGAAACGATATGACGGGAGAATCAATTTGATGCTGAAAAAATCAGGAACAAGGGGAAGAAGGGAGCCCTCACCGCGAAGAGCCGCTGGAGCTCGGAGGGGTCGGCCTCCTCCACCTGATGCGCTGCCAAGGGGGAAGAGGGAACAGAGGCGTCGCCTCCGCCGTCGAGGTGGTCGTCGCCTCCTTCGACGGCGAGGTCGCTCAAGAGATCGCTGACAGTGAGCAGTGGACCTCCGACTCCCCGCATCTCTGTGCTCAAGGTCGCTGGACCGAGAGGAGTCTTACGGTGGTGGGACCGGGGGAGGCCAGGCGGCGTCGCTGGATCCGAGGGGGGAGGGTGGCTGCGCTGGATCCGGTCGGGAGGACCGTCGCCGGCGGAGAGGAGGGGAAAAATCGATGGGCACGACTCGCAACACGCTGAGAACGCCCTGTCGCCTTTGCGGCCCATGCGGCTGGTAAACGACGTGGGCTGAGTTGCCACCAACGGAGAGCTTGTGGGCCGCTAATCTCCTTTTGTCGCTTATTACTGGGCCAGGTTAGGTCATATTTTGATTCCCATGAAGCTTTCTCCGAAATCACTAATCGAGGAGTACTCATTACAAAGATCACTCCCACCTTCTCAGATTGCAACAAGTGGCGAGCTGCATATGCGCCTCGCAACTTGAGAGTTTTTCTCTTTTTTCGTACATCTGTTTATTTAAAATGTTTTATCTCTTAAACCGTGCGTCCAAATCTCGAACCGTTTTCACCATTGGATTCCTCGCGTCGAGATCTTAAAAACTAGATCCTATTGATGAACTTTTTTTCACGAAAAAACCAGACAAAAAAACCGAACCGGGAGCACGGGGTTTTTCTCCCTCCGAAAAAAGCACGCCCACGCCTCTCACGAAATCACAACCGTGCCTCTCGTGAAAATTAAACCGCGCCTCTTGCAGAAGGATAAAAAACAGAAAACATGTTTTTTTTGTTTTCGAGAGACACGGCCGTGCCTCTCATGAAAGCACAACCATATCTCTCGCGGAAGCAAAATCGTACCTCTCGTGACAGCAAAAAAACAGAAAACGTGTTTTTTTCGTTTCCGAGAGGCACGGCCTTGACTCTCGCGAAAGCACAACTGTGCCCTCGCGGAAATAAAACCGTGCTTCTCGCGGAAAAAAACATAAAACATATTTTTTTTTCAAGAGGCACGGCCGCGCCTCTTGCGGAAGGCAAAAAAACAGAAAACGCATTCTTTTTCGTTTTCAAGAGGCACGGCCGTGAATCTGAGAAAAGCAAAACCATGACTCGCGTGACAAAAAAACATGTTTTTTCATGCTAAAAAATTAAATATATTTTGATCCAAAAGTTAAGGAAGACAGGTGAAAAATCGAAACGTCAAAAAATGCAAAAAAAAACTGTTTTAAAAACTGAAAACAGGTGTGGAAAAAAAATCAGAGTGGCTGAGAGCGCACCAAGAAGCGTTCGTCAACAGCAGTGCGTCCACAGAATTCCCTATTTGCCGCATGTTGCGGCAAATTGTCGCCGCAACGCATAGGCAGAGCTCGACATCGAGTGATTAGGGCTGGCTCATTTCGTGAGTGCACGCAAACCTTTCCGTTTCTGGTTTTCGGCATATTTCCACGGGCTTCCAGCTGGTTTATTTCGGTTTTGGGACCTTCTAGAAGATCCACAACCGTGTTTTCTTTCTTTTCCTATTTTTTTTTCGTTTTTTCTGGTTCCTTTTTATGTTTTTCCAGATTCCATTTTTATATTCATTCCTATTTTATTTTCTTTCATTTTGTTTTCTTGTCCAAAAATGTTTGAAAATTCAAAACATGTTGACCCTTTTCCAAAATTAGTTAGCTTTTTCATAAAATGTTCAGTTTTCTAAAATTCAGAAATTCATCAAGGTTCAGAAAGTTCAAATTTTGTTCGCGTCTTTCAGAAATGTTCTTATTTTATAAAATCGTGCTTTTAAGAAAATGATCAAAATTCAAAAAAGGGTGTGTTTTCAAATTTTGTTCATAAATTAAAAAAATGTTTGCACTTTTAAGAATTGTTCATGCACTATCTGCTTTTAAAATTCAACGTTATTTTGTTTAAAAAATGTTCAGAAATTCCAAAAGCATTCCTTCTTCAAAATATCAATCAAAATACGAAAAAGGTTGTGTTTTCAAATTTTCTCATAAATACTAAAAATGATCGGAATGTTTCTGTTCAAAAATTTCACAACTTGTCAAAAAATGTTCCCGTTTTAGAAAATTGTTCAAAACATTTTAAAAAAATGTTCACGTTTTCATTTTTGTGTGTTTCAAAATATGTTCCTTTTTCAGAAAGTGTTCAAAATTTTCAAAAAATTGTTCGTCTTTTCAAATTTTGGTCGGGAGTTTAGAAAATGTTCGCATTTGCACAATTTTCATTTGGAATTTCGAAAAATTGTCCTCTCTTCAGAAAAGGCGTTCATGATTTTGAAAAATGTTTCAGTTTTGTAAAACAATTAGCAAATTTGAACAGTGTTTGTGTTTCACAAAACACTCGGTTTTTTAAAAAATGTTTTAGAAATTCCAAAAATAATTCGAATCTGCACTGCCTATTGGTTCTTAAAGTTTGACGCTCCTGGTTAATTTGAAAATCTCGCTAGCTCAGCTGGTTGCGGCTCGCGGTCGGGAGCATGAGATAGCGGGATCGATTTCCGAGCGATGCCAAATTTTTTGGACTACAGAGGTTCGCTGGCATCATGGGCCAGCCCAGTTGGAGACCGTCTGTGCGAAACTACGTCTCTTTGCCGCAAAGAGTGGCATATATGAGGTCCGTGCGTCCACCCACCTTCCTGTCGCGCTAAGCGTCCCACGTGGTGCCGCGCATCACACTCAGCCCACGTGAAGCAACCAACATCCCATTTCTTCAGAACATGTTCTGTGACCCAATCCTCCCCCCTCGCGTCTCTGTCTTCTAGCTCTCCCTCCAGGAGAAGCTCACAATGGCTGCTCAAGGGAGCCAAGTCCATGGCCAGCAACCAGTGACGAAGCCAGGAATTAAGGATTAGGGGGACCAAATGACTCAAAATTCTGATAACAAGGGCCAAACAATATTAATACATGTATTTTTGTATAAACTACACACTGTTCATCTACTAATTAGCAGCAAATCAATGATCTTAGGGGGGGCAGGGCCCCTGCTGGTCCCTCCTGTCTCCGCCACTGCCAGCAACTGCCCAACATGGTTGTGAAAAGGAGGCAAGGGGATGACGGGGAGGAGCCAAGTCCATGGCCGCCAGATGCCCAGAACATGGTTGCGCGAAGGGAGACAAGGGGGACGTCCGTGTTGCGCTCCAGATCCGGCGATGCGCCACAACCGCAACTTTTCGATGCTGCTCATGGAAGGGCCAGAACCGGTGGCTGGCCCTGAGCCGTAGTTGAGGCTCTTTGTCGCAATGGTGATGTGACGTTGGCGAGTTAAAGATGCACAAATTTTTCCTGCAACATAACCTTTGTTGTAAAAAATTCCGTGCAACATGACCTTTTTGTTGCAATGGTGCTTCAACTAGATCTCAGTTGTAAAGGTTTCCACAACAAGAAGTTCGTTCCAAAGGTGGTGGGCGCCGCTCGATAGTTTCAGATCTGACGGCTCGCGACAGCTGGCGGACGCATAGCACGCCCCAAGTTCGGCCTTACCCCTCATGGAGCTTTGTCCAGATTGTCCAAAAAAAAGAATAAAGCTTTGTCGATGGTTTGGACCCAAGCCGACACCACCATCGGGCGTGTTGGTCAAGCCAGCTAGAAAAGCGCAACTCAATTTTTTTTAGCATCAGTACGGACACAAGCGCTCATATACACGCGCATACACTCACCCCTATGAACGCACACACGCATACCCTACCCCTATGAGCACCTCCGAGAGACTGAGCCAACATATCATCTTGAGATTTACGAAGTCATCGTAGGCGCCTCGTCGTTGACGGAAACGTCTTCTCCCACTGAAAGCGTATCGCCGAAAATCCTGAAATAAATTCAGGAATAATGCGAGTACCAGGATTTAAACCCTGGTGGGTTGGGGAGGGTCCACCTAACCAACTCAACCATAGGTTGATTCGCAGCGCAACTCAAATTCGCTAGGTACAAAGAACGGCAGGAATCAAGCAAGGAGGGAGTTCGTGCGGTGGTGCCTCCTCCACGGAAAGATTCGTTGGGCCAGATGGACGTCGTGTTCGTTGGGTCCTGACCGTGGTTTGCGTTTGACCTCGCGGCCGCCGTCCAAACGTGCCGTTTTTGCCGAGGATTTAGTTTATTTGCAGTTTACACTTGACACCCCGAGGTTGCCGATCTCTGTGCCATTTCCCTTCCAAGGGCGCCAGGTGCTAAAATACGATTTGATGTTCGTTTCCACTTTCTCCATCCCATTCCTCACTGGCGACCAGCTCAGCTGCCCTACCTCAAAACCAAAGCGACTTTTTTTGGCTTGAGAATAATCGGAGCATGAACCGTTGGATACACTTGACCGACGGTGGGGAGGTGACACCCGTGGGATCACATAGGACTGTAGTACGTTGCATCGAAAATAATCCAGAAAAACATGCCATGCCTCTAGAAAATCCAAGACGCTCCAAGCGATTGGAGCCTTCGACGACTAGAAATACGATGGCCGCAATGTGCAACAATGCCTCTAACTAAGGATGGCCACAATGCCCAACAATACCACTACCTGAGGACCCGCTCCAGATCTCCATCCTACTTCTGTGATCCTAATCTCGCATTAGTGCCTAGAGGACATGTAAGAAACAATGAGCACGGTGTTGAAATATATTGCTCAGCCTTCTCTATTAGTTATGAGTTCTGGTGAATCGTTGGGTGTATGGTGTGTGAATTTAATATATCATCAGAACCAAATGTCTCGAGTTTAAGATCCAGTAAAAAAGAAACACTATTAAATAAAAGTGAAGCAACCTATATCGAACCCACTCCTAAGAACCAGAGCAGACTAGATACAAGTATGAGTGTTGAAATATCTTATTCACCCTTATTCATTATTTTTTTACTTTTTGATAAATTGTTTGGTGCGTGAAGTAAATACAAAATGAGGGTTGATGGCCCCATGAGGCAGAAGGACGCATGCTAAGCCAACCGCGACATGCCGCGTGACTCCGAGACATAGGGCAAAAGGACATTGACCGGAGAAGGAGATAAAAGAAACATGCTTAGTCCAACAGTAAACAGAACAAAGAAATCAGATAAAATAAAACAAGCTTTAGTGTTAGATACATCCGCATCTACACAATTAATCTGGAACGGAGGGAATTTTTTTATAACAAAGTTAAATAAATATTGAGTATATAATGAAAAATATACAAATTGGTCAGTTTTAAATAAAATGGAAAGTGGCATTGTCAGCCAATACATTTTATATGTAGCAAATATATAACTTTTAAAGTATTATCGAATTATTAATCATCAATCTATGAAAACATAAGAGCATATCTACAGCCGGGGGGCCCAAACCCTTCTAAAACGTTCGGGTGGCCCGCTCGGTCACTGGCCGGTCACGATTTTTTTACCCAGATGGACGCCTCAAACAGGCCTTAGACAACCAGGCTGACCGACACCCCTCATATCCCTTCAAATACTGGGCAGATATAGGGACGTCCCAGCACGCCCGCCACGTCGAACCCGGCCAATGCTGGGCCGACCCACATATATTCGGCCCCATCCACTCACCAGACCAAACCCCTAACCACTTCACTCCACTCCCCTTCGCCATCCGAGCTCACCTTCGGCCTTCTTCGGTACGGCAGGCAGCGGATCTGACTCCGACCAGCCCGGATTCGTCGACTGAGGCGTCATCCAGTGCGGCTTGGAGGAGGCAATGGCAGTCCAGATTGCACTTCGCCGCTCTCGGGAGGACAACGTCCCGCTGATGGACGAATCGGTCCGCCGCGACTCCATAGTGTCGGCTCAACGGGCGCTCGTGTCCTTTCGCATTCCCGGCAGCCAGAACCACTCTCCTTCCCCATCACCGGCCGCGCAGACTATGAGTCCCACCGGGAACGGGGGGCCCACCGTGAGAAGGAGAGGGGGCCGCTGAGGCCCGTATCACAGCGAAGAATGGCGGCGGCAGAAGCGGCTGATGCGGCGGTGCGGGTGTCCGCAGAGGAGGAAGCCATCCGCGCCCATATTGTGAAGAAACGGCAGCGAAGGAACACGCACGCCCGCACCCGAGAGCATAATCGGGCGGTCCGTGACATGGGCGGACTGCCACCGAAGGAGGAGAAGGCGGACAGTGACAATGACGAGCAGATCCGGCTCGATCCATACTGCGTCTTCGACCGTTACTTCCGCGAGAAGGACGGCAAGGTCACCGGGAAGGGCAAAGGCAGCCATGGATGAACTCCACCATAGCCAAACGTGCCAAATTTGGTAGTTTGATGTCATGTAGTTAGTAGTGATGGGGTAGCCGAACGATGTGTGTGCATCGACATAGTTGCATGAGTTTATATGGATTTCTGATATGATAATTGAGGTGTCCGGATGTGATTGCATTATTTGAGGGGTGCCTGGTCAATGCCTGCGGATACACCCGTACGTGTCCGTTTGACATTTGAGGGGCTGGATTTGCCCATCGTGCTCTAATTACACCGGAACCAATTTAGATGCGGAGAAGCAGACACATTTTGAAAGAGAAAACGTACACCACCCTTTCTTCCGTTGCAAGAAAACGAGCCCGACATGTCACATGTCACATGTCACATGTGAAACGGATCCAAACCATGTGCGGGTACTAAACGAATTCCAGATTTCTCCAGGGGCCAAACCAGCAAACAGGCCCACCTATATAAAGCAGAGGCCGACGAACCTCCCAGATTAAATCGAGAAAACAGAGAGGGAGAGAGAAAGCGAGCGCCTAATAAACTTCGAACGCGAACAGCGGAAGCAGAGGCGGCGAAGCAAATGGCGGAGGCCCCGAGCAAGATCGAATCCATGCGGAAGTGGGTGGTCGATCACAAGCTCCGAGCCGTAGGTAATCCCCTCCAAATTTCTCCGTGGGGATCTGGTTTTCTTGGTCCGGATCTACATATTTCGAGTTTGTTTCCTTGTATGCCGATGTTTCGATCGTCGGCCGAATCCCGGCGGCGATTATTCCGAGTTTCACCGCATCTGATTTGATCTCGCGATTATGCTTCAATGTATTCATTCGGTGGCTCTAGCGGGGGACTCCTTGATTTGCCCCCAAATTCAGGCCTATGTATTTTCTAATCTATGACATCCTTCTTTTCCGGCGAGGGCAGGTTGCCTGTGGCTTAGCGGGATCTCCAGCTCCATCGCGTACAACTGGTCGCGGCCCAACATGAAGACTAGCGTCAAGCTCATCCACGCAAGGTTTGCCCATCTGTCATTTATTTACGTTTCACCCCATTCTTTTTATGCTTCTTTTGATTTGAGATTGGTAGTTTCAGTCTCATTTGTGGGAGAATTACCGGCTATCTTGATTTTCATCTTGACCAATTTGCCTTTGTTACTAATTTGGTGCATGGTTGTGCTTGTACGACGCAAACTGTATACTTAAGTTAGGTGGCCTCTTATTTCTAATTTTGCTAAGGCTAAAAGAGGATCATGTTGTTGCTTGTTTTTGCAAGTTTTTAGGTTTCAAATATATCTCTGTCATTTGTGCATCAGTATGTGGGTGGTAGTATCACAACCAATTTCATCTGAAGAAATGGTGTTTGTTTCAAAATTCGACCATTCTTTCCCCATGTGATTCCCCCTGTTGCTGCCAAGTATTTTGTGTTCTAGTTGTAGCCCCATCTTGCCGCATGCCTTTGGTTGCAGCCTAATCTCCCTTGGCAGTGTATTGGTAATTGATACGTGATCACATATGTATGGGCTTCGCGTTGTATACGAGTTTTTTTTTGGCTGACAGCGAGCTCTGCTTCGACATGTCCTACACTGCCACTATTGCAGAGTAGGCAACATTATATAGAACATATTGAAATACAGGTCGCTGTCAGCCACCAATCGAGCCTTCGCTTCTGGATCAGCCTAACATTGTAAACATTTTCTTGTAAACCTCTCATGTTAGGATGACCATAAGCAAAGGCTCAATTGGTGGCTGACATCCAGCTCTGTTTCAACGTGTCCTATACTGTCACAATTGCAGAGTAGGCAACATTATAGAACATATCAAGATATGGATCGTGTCAGCTACTAATTGAGCCTTTGCTTCTGGACCAGCCTAACATTGTAAACATTTTTTCATAAACCCTCATGTTAGGGTGACCATAAGGGAAGACTCAATTGGTGGCTGACAGCGAGCTCTGTTTCGATATGTCCTATACTGTCACTACTGCAGAGTAGGCAACATTATAGAACATATTGAAATACAGGTTGCTGTCAGCCACCAATTGAGCCTTTGCTTCTGGATCAGCCTAATATCTTGAGTATTGCAGTGACTTTCCCTAGGACTCATGCTTAGTCGATGATGTTTGTCTGCCAGTTGCAATTAGGTTTGACTAGAGTTTGAAACCCTAGACAGTATTTTTACCTTGCAACTATATAGACGCTGGTTGTGTTTAAAACTCTACATGGGTTTGGCTAGATTCCAGAGGACTGTATCTATGAATCTGATTTGCACAATGCCATAATTCAAGGAGTTGCAATCATATCATCTAAAACTCTGTTTGACCTTGCAGGTTGCACGCGCAAGCTCTAACGATCGCTGCCTTAGGTAGTTGTGCATTAGTAGAGTACTATGACCAGAACTACGGCTCTTCAGGACCAAAGGTGGACAAATATACAAGGCATTACATGTCACACTCGCATAAAGATTAATTATCTGCATGGTCGGTGCTGGATCCTGGATTAGTTTTAGGTTCTTTCCTGGGCTCCATCAAAGGGGTCTCCCAGGATTGTTCCTTTAAGTCTTCTTTATTGCGAAACGAAATGATACTTGCCAGGTCCTGTCCTGAGCAATGAGGGTGTTATACACAATTGCATATATGATCTGCATAACGTGAATGTAAGATTCATTCTGTAACATTATGTTGTATCTTTATATGATGTTGCACTGGACATAACAACAGTGTTCCGATGTTGCACTGGATTACCTGAGATCCTGTCATGTGGTACCTCATGTTCATGGCTCACACATGATGTGCCTCTTTCTTTCTCTGCGAAATTGCTAATGAGCAATGAAAGGCAGTTTTGTGTCTAATGGTTGGACCAAATTTATACGAAAGAGTACCAACACCAAATAAGCACCCACTAATTTTGTGTCCCAAAATTTGACAACAAAGAAAAATAACTAGAAAGCGATATTAAAAAGATCACAACCTTCTCAAAGTTTCGAACACTGGAGGCATCCAGAACTTAATGTGGCTGCATCAATCAACTGAAAACCGGCCTGGAGTACACATTCATACCAGGAGTTGCTCGTGATGCACATTGAACAATCCAACAGAGAGATAAAAACAGAGTTGTTGGCTATGTATCCACCTGGAGTGACCATACACGGCCAGAAACAAAGGTCCATGAGAGAGACTCAGAGGCTCAAGTGACCAAGAAGATGAAGACCATGAGGGCGAAGAGGAACATAATAAGAGTGTGCATGAAAATAATGGATATGATGATGAAGAAAGTGTAATGGTGACTAAAACGAACTATTATATGCATTTTTAACTTCAAAAACATCTCTAGTCTTATGGTCCTACCTTTCAGGGTCCTAAACATGATATTGTTGTTGAAATATATTTGTCCGTTCTTTTGAATGAAGTACATAACTATTACATATCGCTGTCGAATTCGGACTTTTGAATGAAGTACATAATAAATTTAATAATTATTACATATCGCTGTCGCATTTGAATCTTTTGAATGAAATACACAAATTTAATAATTATTACGTATCACCTTGGAAGCGGAAAGTATATATAAATGGAAAGTATATATAAAATGGATAGTGCAATATGAGCTATGGGTAGAGTTGGATGATGGATCGCATCCCTAGGACGGGCTGTATTTTGTAATGACTAAACCCTGCTTCCATGAATATCTTTTGCCAGCTGAGTTCCTCACGTTCTTTGCTCATGAATAGCATCATCATTTGCATATCCATCAAGACTTGAGCTTCAAGTACTTGCTGTGAGTGTGAAGGAGATCCAACAACAGCATCGATGATTATCACCTTCCCTGCTTTCGCTCCTTGGGCAATGGCCTCTCTGCATTTTGTCAGGATCTTCACACAATCCTCGTCGCTCCAGTTGTGTAGCACACACTGCCAATCGAGCAAGTCAAAAATATCAGTAATAAATTAGGCAATACATTTATACGTTAATATTTATTTTTTTCTTTTTGTCGGATGCATCCGTTTATTCTTGTTAGGCGCTCACTTGTTTTGTGGGGCTGGTTGTAATAGGAAGTACTATCATATACTAGTATCATGCATATGATATTAGTGTACGATACTATCTTCCGAATGCATAGTATCATATATTAGTATCATGTAATATTATATTTCATTGCCATGCATGACACATAGTAATATAGCATTTATTATGATACGGTATCATGATATGATATGATACTCAACCCTCTATTTCTTTATTTAATTATATGATATCTTGTCAAAATTGGCTAGTTGGCATGCATGATATTAGCTATGATACTATTATTACGACCAACATGAGGAATCGGTATAAATGTGAACGGGAAGTTGCTAGAATGTGCCTTTCTTACTACTGTAAATAAATTTTTAAAAATAAATTATACCTTAAGCAGAACTGCATCAGCTGGTGGAACGTATTCCATCATGTCGCCGGCAGCAAACTCAACCGACTCATGTGTCGAGACGACGCCTTGTACAACATGCGGGAGGTCCAGCACCGAACACTTGACATGCGGGAAGGCCTTGGCGATGGCCGTCGCCATGGTGCCGTTCCCGCCGCCGACGTCGACCAGCGACGTCACGCCCGTGAACACCTCGGCGCACTCGCGGACGACGAGCTCCGCCATGTGTCGGCTGTCGGACCCCATCGCCTCGTTCACCAGCGCGTTGAACTCCGTGTCATGGCCGGCCGCGCCGTAGGGGCTCTCGCCGTGCGCCATGGCGAACGCCGGCTGATCACCCTGGCCGTCCCTCTGGAACCACTGGTGCAGCCGGAGGGAGGCCTCCAGGAACAGCGGCGAGGTGCCCATGAGCACGCACGGCGACAGGCACGCGCCGCTGCCGCTGACAAGAAGGCGAGACACCGGGTTGAGGCCGTACCGGACGCTGCCCTCGCCGCCGCTGGCGGTAGGAACGTCCACATCCACAGCCACGGCCGTGAAGATTCCTTCCACGGCTAGCATCTTCATGAGCCGGGACAGGTACGGTCGTTTGCTGCAAGGGAGGGCGAGGGTGGAGGACAGGTCGGGCAAGGAGGCCGCGCCGCCGCAGCGGTGGAGAGCGTCGGGGATTCCGAGCTTTACCGCGCTGTGCAACGCCATGGACTTGAGGTAGCCTAAGGAGTGGCGCACGAGCTCTGCCTCAGTTTGCAGAAGCTCCGCGCTTGAGGTGGTGGCCATTTTGGCCCTGCTTTCTTCTCCTATTATGATCTTTACTAAGAGTTTGAGTAATACTGGTGTGGTCTGAGAATCAAATCTCAGCTAGGGATGATTTATAGGTCCGATACCAGCAACGGTGCACGTGTTACGAGGAGAGGGTCTGGTACCATGCCATGTTTAATGTCTTCAAATCAAAATAAAACAGGGTATCCACTCATAAGAGCATCTCCAACGCCGACCTCAGACCGTCCAGACCCATTTTGCCATCAAACACGATACTCCGCAAACCGGAGACAATTTGTGAGGAGAGAGGGGCTTTGCCGCAGTCCGGACCGCCGCCACGTAGGACTCCAACACCTCAGGCCAACTCAAATCCCCTCTCGATCCACTTTTCTTCCAATCCACCTCTGCTTTCCTCTTGCTTTGCATATGCACCTTCCTCGTCCGATGTCGCCGCGGCTGTACATCTCCGGCCGCCGTCCAGGTATCATAGGACGTCCACAACCCCACCAATGCGCATGCCCTCCTTGGACTACGCCACCGTCCACCCAGGATCCCTCCGCCCCTCTGCCGACGATGTCCATGGCGGATACCACGCCCGACAGGTGTTCGGTCAAATTTCATTGAGCTTTTTTGTCGAACTTCTTGTTGTTTTCTAGAGTAAAGCACGATGACGAGGTACTCGGTGATCGACGATGAGTTGTCACGTGATGCGTGGTCGGCCGTATCTGCGGACTTCGTAGGAAGGAACTCTAGGGGCTCGATCTTTTGGCAGCAGGTGCATGCTTTCAGGATCCTGAAAATTGTAGCCGAGATCCAAAGGGTCAATAGCTAGGACAATCAAGTTCCTCGAGCACCAATGTAGCATTGATATTGTTTGTTGAAATATATTGTCCGTTCTTTTGAATGAGGTACACAAGTTTATTAATTATTACATGTCCTTCTCGAATTCAGACTTTTGAATGAAGTACCAAATTTAATAATTATTACATATCCCTGGCGAATTTGGATCCTTTGAATGAAATGCATAAATTTAATGACTATTACGTATCCCCGTGGTAGCGGAAAGTATAAAATGGATAGCGCAATATGAGGAAAAAGGACTATCCATGGATAGGTGGAAAAGCCGCAAGCTGGAACTTTGGCAAAAAAAACCCGGGGGCTCCCGCGATCGCTATGGCGATCTGGCGGCCACGGAGACAGTGCGTGAGGGATCCCTGGCAGGTGAGTTCCTTCCTACTATTGATGCGGGAGTTTCGATCCGGTCAAGTAAGACAAAGATACCAAAGGATCTGGTGTTGGGCGCTTCTTTGGAAGCCGTTGATTCAGACTCTGCGGACTGCCATATGGAGCCGGTGCCTTTGGCAGGATATCCAATTTTCTTAGGAAATAGGGAGAGGAATCAGGGGGGAGCGATTGTAGCTTCGGATTTGATCGGGGGAGATGTTGATTTTAATTGTAATGGCAAAAAAAGAGGGAGTTCCATTGGAATTGTTAGGAAACGGACTAATCAAGGGCATTTAATTTTTGTTAATTGTATCAATTATGGATTGGAGGATTTGAGGGTGGGGGACAAGAGGTGCTATATCTATGGCAATAGGGGACACCCATGTTCCTCGCATACGTAGTTTCTCGAATCAGTCTTCTCTGCATACAGTTTCCTCGCACTTGAGCTCGGGTTCAGTGGTGAACACCATGGCTGATGGGGGTGAGATGAAAGAGAGGTCAGTGGAGGCGGTGATGGAGGGTATGGTGAGCGCGGGAGGGGTGCTTGCCGCGGTAGAGGAGCTGTGATCTCAACCGGCAATGATCGGGGCTGGGGTCTCCCTGATCCAGCCTTCTCCGGATCGGCTAAGGAAGATGGTGTCGAGGCGCTCCCATGGCAACAGCACGCCTCTCGTCATCGACATGGAGGCGGCTCGCAAGGCCGTCGGCGGTTTTCTGGTGGTCAGGCGCCTCCTCTCCCCCTTCAAGGTTAATCCAAAGGGTCATTGTCGACGACCTTCGGAACACGACTTGGAAGAACCAAGGGGTCATCATCATCCAAGAGGTGGCCAGCGACGATGGGAGGTTCATTCTCAACTTAGCCGCTGAGAGTGACTGCCGGTTTGTGCTTAAAGCGCAGCCATGGCACTTCAAGCGGGACGGCCTCATCTTCGCCGAGTTCGACGGCAAGGGCGACCCGACGGAGGATGACCTTGGTGTCATGACCATGTGGTTCCAGGTACGCGACCTCCCGTTCGAGCTCAAGACGGAGAATGTAGGGTGGTCTCCTGAGGATCAACTGGGAG